GTTGAAACATTTTATGAGACATTGTTGCTAAGGTAACCATCTTCTCTCTGTGTTCATTACTTTATTACCACTTTAGGTGAAATTAAAAAAAAATTATAATCATACGCTAGTCAATTTGCCTAGGATATATGTATAATGGAACCACGCACTTGCCTTGCATGTCCAAAGAAGCTGCCTGGTTTTTCAGAATAAACTAGTATTGATATTTATTTTGTAACCATCTTCATCTCCTCACACTTATTTGTGATTATGCACATGCTACAGTCATACCCCATAACACTAAAATATAATGTCATTACAGCCAGACAGTTTCATACCAGGAGTGAGCTGTGCTCTGATTTTTTCTCTAGCAATTAAAAAAATTATGAGAGGAGTCTGCATGGCACATAATCCCTGAAGTTAAACTCATAGGTCTGTGGAAGGTGATGCAGAATTGAGCTGTTAGTAAGACCAAGTAAAATTTGAGTACTGTAGTGCAAAATAATCTACAAAACATAATGGAAAGCACATACACATGCCACACCATCAACATGGCAGCCCTTCCCCCTCTCCTTTTTTTCAGGGTAAACTCAGGCCAATATTAACATCCTGGTAAACTAAGTGAATTCCAGAGCCAGATTCTTCAGATTAATTCTCAAAGCAACTGAATACATGCTGTTGGTTTTGGGGACCCCTCCTTATTTTTTTATGTTTACAAACCGTATGTTGTTTCTATTAAGCAGAAAGATGGTCATTCCAAGATGCATCCATAGGAATAGTAATAGTTTGGAAAGATAACACCATCTTAAAATGGGCAAAGATACAAAACTTGATTTGACCTGTAAGAGTGTCTGTAGTACCTCTTCTCCCTTGCATATGGGGCTGGTATAGATACCTCCCAACAAGGTCACCTTAGAAATACATCTTTCTTTTTAAAAAGGGTCTAAAACATGGCAGCAATTGTCAAGAACTTCCATAGTTTTCTTCTCTGTCACTAACACTACCATATACCACTAAATTGAAACATATCTTAAAAATACAACCCATTCCTAGTAAGAAATGTTAAGGGGAGGATCTTTGAAAGCCTGTCAGAAGCCATACTCTAACCACTGCTGTCCCCCACTCCCTGCTCCCGCTTCCCCTTAATCTCTGGTAGCTTTTCATTGCTGGAGTCAAATACAGTCACTCCAGCAATCTCTCTGTTTAATGCAGTACAAGACTATATTATTTTGTTAACATAAGGGTGTCATATATACGGCCTGCAAGACAGATTCAGCCTGCTGAGCTGCTGTACTCAGCCTTTTGGCCTACCAACTGGCCACCAGAAGTTGGGGGGAGTGACCTGCCACAGAATCTGAGACGAATCTGACACCCCTTCTTTAACAGATTCCCTGCTAGGTTGTAGGAAAATATGAAAGTATGTTTAACAGCTGCCTCCCACACACTGTGCCCTTTCCCTCACTTCGTGTGAATGTGAAAAATTTGTTAGAGAACTGATGACAGTCTAAACAGGCAAAGCCAGGTCTGAATATGGAGGCCCCTCCACATACAGAGCCCCAGAGAACTGCTGGGGCTAAACTTTATTTTTACCACTTATGTCACTTGGTATTTGAAGACTTAAATGGAAGTTATATCATGTGCATGGATGCTGTATTTTTAAGGTCCAGAATAGTCTAGATGCAGAGCTAGCAGGTAGGAGGCAGATATAACTAGAGTGGCCTAGAAACTAACCCTCAGAAGGAAGGGAAGCTGGAGATTTGCTAAGCCGCCACTAGTTCAGTGTAAGCTGCATGTACATATTTCTGTCAGCCTTTATTTTACAAAATACTCCATATTTTACCTAGCAATGTCTCTTCAAGCCAACAAAAATGTGGAGTTATGGCTCAAACTTTTCTTTGAACTTTCCACATTTACAGCTCAGCCAGGCAGCTAATACTATATTATAGAAAATCACTCAGATCTGGGAACACCCTTTAAAGCTTAGGCAATGAATGTTTAAGGCATATATATTTACAGCATGCACTCTCTTTATGGCGTTAAGGTCATAAACACTGATGAACAGGGAGTTATAGATGAAGTCATAGTTAAAACTTTCCGTTCTCTTATTTGTATAAATCAAGTTCTAATCCTAAATGTAGTAAAGCTCCTTTGCTCTCCCCTCCACCATGAGCACTTTATGCTGCTCTGGTCTGGCTGCACACATGGGCCACAAAGGGACAGTAAAAAACTGAAAGTGAATAATACCCTTGCCTCAGAAGCTGTCTAGGACTGACAGAAGGTTTAGGGAACCCTTAAAAAGTAGTGCAGGTGTGGGACATATCAGAGGTGAGAACAGAAGTAACCTAGCACTAGTTCTGGACTCCTGGTTATTCCACAGGCAGCCCTAAATTTGCCAAAAAGCTTAGGCAACCTCAGTGGCAGCAAAACTAGACAAATGCTGAGTAGTTCTTGGAAAGGGATTCATGTGTCTATATGGAATTCTTTGCAGCCTCAGGACTGTATCTAGCATTCCCTGGCTTCTGATGATTCATTTTATCTTGAGGCAATCTGGCATATTATTTTAAATAATTTTTATTTCGTTAATATTTCACAAGTACTGGTATAGTTATTTTTAATGAGTATTTAAGAGCAATGGCACACAAACAGTGATACTACTACTAATATAGCAGGTTCTGAATGGCTTCTGTCAGCAGACATGACTGTAAAGAAAAAGAGAGAACTTGGACATTAAGAGCATACTTAAGAATTATTGCCCCAGTCTGGCAAATGGACAATAGAAGTCCTTAGTTTTAGGTACATGAGTAATCCCCTTGAGTTCAATGAGGCTACTTTCCCACCCCCACTGCCTTTTAAATATAAGCAGCTGGCTAAGTCTTTAAGGTTTGGGGCCTTAGTTTACTCTTTGTATTTGAAATAATTTTTTTGGAAATAATATCCCAAACAGACCTTAACAGAAACAGTAAAAGGGTACAAACTGAAATAATTTGATTTACAGTAATGCGACTGTAGCTACTACCTATTTGTATTAAATACAAATCATTACATGAAAACACCATCAGTTATACAACTAGATATGAAATCTGCTTTTCCAATACATAGAGGAGTCATTAATGACTAAAACATATGAGAGTTTTGTTAATTAAAATAATGGCAGAATTCCACTAGGACTGTCCAGGAAGTTTATTATAATAAAAAAGGTTTTTCAGACTAGCAATAAATAGTAAAATACCATGCCATTTTATCATTTTGTACAAAAATGTTTCTTAATCCTTCCTTTTTATTATTGAAAAATGAGAAAGCTCTCTCCCATTTAATTTAATATTTTATGGTTAAAGAATAAGCAAGTATTCCATTTCTTGATTTTCTGGTTTGTGCAGGATATAAACTGGGGCATTAAAAGCTACTCTTATTGTATATAATGAATTATCCCTTTTTTATATTCTCACTCAAGATCCAACTCTGAATACATTTGTATTTGTGAAACATTTTAAGAGCTTGTAGATAATATACATTTGTTTTAAGTGCATGGAAAGACTATAGAAACAAGCCACAATGGGGCTGCATATTAGCAGTCTCTCATGGCATACCTCGGAAGTATTGTGAATTATGACATTGAAGGCTCAGTGCCTTCAGTCATTCAAGGTGTTCCCCACTATCACTAAAAACAATTTAGGGGCATGCTTACAATGGATTATTGCTAGTAAGGTATCCTTCTGAATGATATTGTTCCAGAGGCTACAGGAAGACAAAAGAAATATTTTTACTAGGCCAGTTCTTTCCCCAAAATGCAAGACATGCTTCTTTAAGAGGGTGGTGTTGTAATCAAGGCTACCAATTGCTGCTGCCTACCCCCGAATTGGCATGAGCTAGAAATGGGGGCCTATTCCCCTCACCACCAATTTCCCTCACCAGTGCCTATCAGTAGGCAGGAACTGAAGAGGGGTGGGGGGCAGGGAGCAACCATGAGAGTTTCTGATAGTGCTACAGAGGGATGTAAACTTACAGAGTTTGGGAAACACTGAAGTAGGCTAACTTGATTAATTTAAATATCTGGGAAGGTATTAGTAATATTTTGACAAATGTAGGTAAACTGTCTATGCTTCATGCCATTAGCACCAAGGCTGCCCTCATTCCTGTTACTCTCTTTCCCAACCTGGTCTGAGAACCCTCTTATCCAGTGGTTACGGTCATAGTTAACCCTTCATTGCACCAGACATGAGAACCTCCGGCTCCATTTCCTGCCCTCTTAAGGAGACATATTCTAATCCGCTTCCAGTTCTGCAAATCAGGGAAACAGTAAATTTTGTGCTGTATTAACAGAAGTATTATATGCAAAACTTATGATAGACTCATTCTGCTCAATACTGTTAGGCCTGAGCTGGAATATTTTGTGTTCTTCTGGGCTCCACATTTAAAGGAGGATGCAGAGAAACTGGACAGGATCCAGAGGCAGGCAATGAAGATGATGGAAAGGTTGGAATGCATGCCATCTGAGGAAGCAATTAAAGCATCAACAGGGAGGCAGATGGGACTGAGTCTAATTCTCTTTAAACAACCAGCTACCTTGTGACATGCTGATTTAGAAGTTGTTTGCTCAGGTCAGTCAATCTGTTTCCACCAGAAAAAAAGGGGGAGGTGGGAGGAGAGTAAACTGAAATACCTTTCCATTTGCTTAACACTGTCACAAACTCACGACTTTGCCCAGGAAATGGTATTCAGGCAAATTATATGAAGTTAACTGTGTTCCAAGTAAGAAATCCATGTGATACATCAGCTGTGGTTCTTATTCACTAGAAAAACAACAGCAAAAAATCAATTTGGATGACCATGGTGTTTTGATTGCTACCTGAAATTACGAGCTTCCATTTGGTATTGGCTATTTCCAAATGAATTCAACAGGATAAACATTTTTAACAGTATTTTGTAATTCATTAATAAATGTACTATAAGGATAATATCAGCGTGTTCTGATAAAATACTGCAGGCCTACTACTTACAGTGACTGCCAACTCCTTCTCCAGGTGCAATTAAGTCCTCACAGTCCCCATATGAACCAGGTCTTCCTTTCACTCTCAGTATCAACACTGAATTCATTTGCTGTACCTTCATGTTATATCAGTGTTCCTGGGGGAGAGGGCCTTGCTGATATGGAGGAGGACAGGAAAAATAGTCCTAAATCAATCAGAAGAAATCCAACAAGGGTAAGTACAGAGTCCTGCACTTGGGAAAGAATAGTTGCATGCATAAATACAGACTGGGGAATGACTGGTAGTAGAATGATTGCAGTAGTATGGAGAATGACCCGTGGACCATGAATACTGTGGACCATAAGCTGAATGTGAGCCAGCATATAGAAGGGATCTCATGCAGTCATTTAGTTCAGTGTAACAGGAGACCTCTAACCCCTGTCACTTTAAGAGTGAGGGAATTATTATAATTATGTGGCTTGCAGGAGTGTTGGCAGCTGAATTGGTGCCAGCTGCAAACAGGCAAGCAGCTGAAGGGAGTTAGGAGCCACAGCTTTAAGGCAGTAACAAATTGCAAGCCACTTATCTGAGGGAGGCAGCAAAAAGATAAGCAGGGATACAGGTTTTCTGTTTCTCACAGAAAAATGGAGTAAACAACGGGTTTTACCTTTTACCAGAGGCAAACCCAGATTTCTCATTTTATTGGAGAAGACCCATGGATTTTGCTCCCTGCAGGCTGGCAGAGCTCTAGCTGAGAGCATGAAGCCTGACAAGTTTCAAGAAGAGTGGTGCAGGGATTTTGGGGCAACTGTACCCCAAATTCTTGAAAGCCAAACTCCTGTCACGACTGTGTGTTACAACACAGGGGGGTCAAAACTGGAGGGGTGGTAGCTCTTACTGAAGCCACAAAACCTGCCAAGTTTCAAGGAGATGGGTGCAGGGGTTTGGGGGGAACTGCATCTCAAGCTGTGGACAAGAAAACTGTGACACTGCGTGTGTTAAGGTGCAGCAGGGTGACAGCTGCAGGGATGGTGGCCCCTGGCGAGGCCACGATGCCTGCCAGCTGTTGAGGAGATCGGTGCAGGGGGGTTCTGGGGCCCTGCACCCCTAGCTGCTGATGGACAAAACTCATGCCAAGACTGTGTCTGTCTTGGGGCAGTTGATTGTCTGTATTGATTCTTTCCTCTCCTTAGCCTGGTTTTGTAGGTGCTAATTGATGCTCGTTAAGTTGTTAATGTAGTAGCTAGGTCCAGTGTATTGAGTCCCTGGTCCCTGAGTGAATCATGATTGACTGGTAACTGGTAACACAGTAGCTTAGCAGCCAGGCCTGCAGCAGTGTCTCCCCTCCCCGTCCCAAGGCAGACAGTCAGTCCCACAAGCACCCATGGCACGAGTTTTGCTTGTCCACAGCTTGAGGGGCAGTTCCCCGCCAAAACCCTGGACCGATATTCTTGAAACTTGGTAGGCTTTGTGGACTCAGTAAGAGCTACCATCCCTGCAGTTTTCACCCTGCTATGTTGTAACACCTAGACGTGACATGAGTTTTGCTTTCAAGAATTTGGGGTACTATGCCCCCCAAACTCCTGCACCGATCTTCTTGAGGCTTGGTAGACTTCATCCTCTCTTCAGAGTCTACCACTCCTGAAAATGTCATCCAAATTGGACAAAAACCAGCAAAGTTATAGATATTTTATTGTTTCTCCATTATACCCTATGGCCGGATCTCCGAGGCGGCTCCGAACCGCTTCAGGAAGCCGAATGATGCTAGCGCTTCGACCTGGATGTGCTGCTTCAGACCCTGAAGCATCCAAATCTTCTCCAGATCTGAAGCTCTGTCCGAAGCCTCACACAGCCCTACTGGGCAGGGCTGGGGCTGCTGCTCAGGTGGGTGATGCATGGAGCTTGGGGCCCAGGGCTGCAATGCACAGCTGCAGGGGCCCAGTGGGGAGTGGGACAGGGACGCAGGAGTCTTATCTGGGGGCAAGGAAATGAGGCTGGCTCCCTGCTGCAGTGTGTACTTCCAAGGGGACCTGGGGTGGACCTCCGCCCAAATCTGTGCTTGGGGTAGGCGTGGGCTGCCTTCTACAGACACACTTTCCTGCCCTCTGCCCTCCCCCAGGGCCTCTGCAGCCCAGCGGGTGTGACCTGGCATGGTGGGGAGCAATGGAGCCATACAGAATGCAGAACTTGCCTTACACTGCAAGCTCTGCACTGCCTTGGCAATGCGCCCCCTGCCCCTGCGGCTGCAGTGAGGGCAGCAGCGCGGGGTTGCGACCCTCAAAGCAGCTGTGTGCAGGGGATGTGTCGCCAGGGCAGTGTGGAGCTTGCACTGGTAGGCAGCTTCTCTGTGCAGCCCACAGTTCCTTGCCATGCTGGGTCATGCCTGCAGGACTAAGGCGGCCCCAGGGGAGGGCAGCAGGGTGGTAGCCCGAGCTTGCAGCCACCCTGTGCACAGATCTGGTGGGCACGGGTCCCTCCTGTTCCCCCCAGGAGTGCGTGGCACGGTGGGGAGTCAGCTCCCACCCCTCCCACCAAAGCCCACGGAGGGGAGAGGGCAGGGGGCTGTGGACCTGGGTCCATATCCCTGGCAGGGCTGGGGGAGCAGGGGATGTGGGTTGGGGGTGAGGGGCATCAGCAAGGCTGTGGGGAGGGGAGTGAGAGGCATGAGCATGGCCAGGGGGCTGTGGGTGGGGAGTGAGGGGCACCAGTAGGGCTGAGGGGGCTGTGGGGAGCCTTTAATTTTAATCACAGATTTTGCTATTTTTTATCAGAGAATTTGCTTCTTTTTTTTTCATCAGGGAAAACCAGGACCCCAAAAGATAAGTGCTGAACTGCAGGTAACTAGGTAAGTAGCACCAGTAACAGAGCTACTGGTGCTGTTACCTAGAAACCCCTACACCTAGTTAAGAGAGCTAGGAGACATATGACCAGAAAGGGGTGGAGCCCAGGGCTCTTTAAGCCTGACTCCTGTGCCAGAGAGGGTATTCAAGCCCACTTCCATCACTACTTCTTAATTATTCTACCTCTCATGCCCGAGACGCCTCAGGGTTTCCTGGCATGTAGTCTCTTACATCTTTTTAACAGTTGGTCCTACCATTTGCAATGTCCTTTAGGTCTTGTTACCCATCCTTACAGGACTCATTCACACCAGTCATATCCTTTTAGCTACTGCCCGGTCCTTCTCAGCATCAGTCTTTTCCTAAGCCTTTCTTTAATCCTTTGACAATCCCAGACAAGTCCCAGATTTCGTTCTGGCCTACTTGGGTTAAGTCAGGTTTGGGCTTTTTCTGGTCTTTCCCCACACCTACTCATGATTTCAGCAACTGTATAACTCAGTTAATAGGGGTGACTGGCTCCAAAGAAGACTGGCCTAGGTTTGAATCCAGGTGGGGGTAATAGGGTCCCACTTGATATTTTCAGCTCCACTGTACCCTGAGGGCCCATCCAGCAACTTATCCAATGGGGACCATGAGCCATCATGAGGTAAAAGGTGCATGAAGTGTGTTGCTGACCACATCACCTCCTTCTTATGCTGCAGTTAAAGAAACAGTGGAGCCCTGCCTCCTCTGCATCATGGTCTGTAAACAGGACAATTTAACTCATGGTGTCAGATTTGGTCCAGCCTTCACGACAGTAGCTTTATTTTTCTCTGCTATTGGAGCAATTCTGAGGCCCTTCTCTCATATCCATCTAAGGGTGGGGCCTCTCATTCTGTTTTATCCCTTTTAAAGGGCCTTTCTCCTTCTTTGTAATGAAGATGAAAGGGTACTTTGTTACACTTATTCAAAGAAAATGCTCAAAAGTCCCAGATGCTGGTAACTCTGTAAAAAAGTGTTCATGATGATGTCTTTGAAGGCATGCAGTTCACAAAATTAAGTAACTTGCTCTATGCCATATAGCTGTCTCTTAACCAGAAGATGTTTACTAAAACTAAGATTTACAGAGCTTGTTAAGTCTCTATCTGGATACTCGTATGACCTCATCACTGTCCTATCGGAGCACTTCCCATTTTCAAATGACAAATTACCTCATTCAATAAAAGGACTAGGGGCTTAATATGCAACGTAGATAGAAACCCCCCACTCAGTTGCCAGCTAACCTTGGAGTGCCTAGCTCCATAGGTGCTGGAGTTTGTGACCTGAACATTGCCTAGATGCCTGAATTAAAAGAAGCACACCGGTTTCACCATAGCCAAATAGCTCGATGCTTAGCTCACATTTAAGCCTCGTAAGGGGCTCTAGAAACTGGGTATTCTTCCACCAAAGTCTTCTTCAGAGGATTGATTCCAGCAGTATTTTCAGAATATGCCTGCCACTAGGATCAGAGATGGCTACTACTTCTTTAATTCTTTAAAAAAAAAAAAGACTGAGTGGTGGTGCCTTTGTGCTATGCAGTGCTTGATAACAATAAGCACAGCTAGATTGATTCCAAATAACCTACACTTATTTGTAGTTGGCATTTAAAAATTTCCTGCAGACCATAAACCATGTACTCCCTTGGGATGTTGTTGTTTTTCCCCAGAAAAAGTGATTGTGGGGTCCTGATCTGCTATACTGGTAAGTTACTTGGGTTTTTTTCTCTCTTCTGTATCAACTCTACTTTCTATTTCTTTACCTAGCATTAATACAACATATCACTGTGAATCACAAAGATCAAACTGCTCTCTCCACATAAACTCTACCACCTCCAACTGGTTAGAGGAATGGAACACCATGGAATTGTTTGACAAATTGTTTTTGCACTGACTGTAGGGGTAGTATCACTGCACTAATGTGCTTCTTCATGTAATTCAGGCATCTAGGTTACACCAGCAAGGAAATCCACTGATTAGCAATAATACCCTGGTTCTGATTGTCCCTACAGCATTGATTCTCAACCAGAGTGATATTGTATGTTAGGATGTCATGTGATCTTTTGAAGGGTGCCATGAGGTGTGAGGCATAAGAGATAAATAGATAAACTAAGACTTGTCTTTGCCTGGCACCTCTGCAAGGAGGTAAGCACTGTTATAAATGCAATAGTTTTTTTAAATTGGGTGCCAGTCAATTCACAAATGTTATGGAGGAGTATCTTGAATCCAATGAAGTGTGCTTTGAGTCCAGAAAGGTTGAGAGCCACTGCTCTATGGTATGGTGCTGGGAAGCTGCTGCCGGGCCTGTCCCTCATACTTTTCTTCCATACTTTCCCTATACCTAGACCATTGTCTCAGCCCCAGAAAAAGGGTCACATAGTCTGGAATTACATTCTTTGCAAAGCAGCATAAACTACAGATTCCAAAAAAATTAAAATAAAACCATCAGTTTTCAGACAAATAAATATATTTATATATTCTATTTCCATTATGTTCACAAATTATATATGACACTGTAGGTGCTGTCATCAAGCTTTTTCAGTGATAACATAGACTTTTCAAAAGATCAAAGCAATTAAAAAGTAAATTAATATATTCAAGCAGTTTCAAAATTGGTTCAGTTCTCCTGCTGTTCCTAATGCTTTTGATGAAATTCCCTTCCTTCTTTCTACACTTTTGCTCTCAAGAGTGACAAGTTATGGACATACACAGCATTGCCTTTAAAAAAATAGTTTTACATGATCCAGATAGGAAGATAGCTTTCTAGCTGTATAATATCTATACAGGTTTCTAATCTCCGCTGAGAATTTGTTTTATATTAGATTACCAAAGATGTCATGCCCAGTGTACTTGGAGACTCCGGTTTGAATTTGATTTAGGTCACAAGTGCAGTAAAATGAGATATTGTTCTTGGTTGAGTTGGAGTTGATAGCATTTCCTCTCACAAACAATATGAATTAGATTCAATCCTTCACAATAAAGATATTTTTCTGTTATAAAAGGAAGAGTTTTGAAAGTTTACTGAAAACGTCAATTTAGAGCAGTTGGACTTCTTGACAGAGATTGACTAGTTTTGAATGTGGCAAATTGACTTGTCTTCCTGTTGGAGAAACTTCTTGGCAACTCCACATCCTAAAAACCTGCACCTAAAAACTGAGAACAAAACTACAGCTGACTGAAAGTTTAGTCTCTCTCTCTCTTTTTTTTTTAGAGTTCAGAACTATTTTTCTTTGCCCTTCTGAAAGCTGTGTGTCTGAGATTTTTCCTTTCAATTTTACTTCTGGCATGACATTTAATAGGCTTATGTTGTGGCATTGAAGACCCCACTGAAAGAGCTATAGATCAGATCTACAGCCTATTGAAATCAGTCTTCTCACTTATTTTATCAACTTATACCATGTGTGTGCCATATGCATATATAGCTGGTCACCCCAAAGAGATTATTACATTTCAAAAGCATTGTCCGTGTTTCTATCTTAATTTTAAGGAAATGAGAAACTGAAGATATATAAACTAGAAAAGAAAGTTACTTTAGAACTAGGCTGTTGTCAAGATCATCCATGTCTGGGCTCCTCAGAGGGCAGCATTTGCCAGGACTTTTGTTGTGAGATTGTCAGATTAGTGCTTGTTGTACAGCTAATCTAGTCTTCTCAAATCCCTAGTGGAATTAAGACAGCCCTCCCCATCTGCCTGGTACCCATACAATTAGTTTAGCAGGATTCGTAGATTTCATAGACATTAGGGCTGGAAGGGACCTCGGGAGATCATCGAGTCCAGCCCCCTGCCCAAAGGGCAGGAAGTCAGCTGGGGTCATAGGATCCCAGCAAGATAAACATCCAGTTTGATCTTGAAGGTGTTCAATGTAGGCGCTTGAACCACCTCCGGTGGCAGGCTGTTCCAGACCTTGGGGGCTCAGACAGTAAAGAAATTCTTCCTTATGTCCAGCCTGAAACGGTCTTGTAGTAGTTTATGACCATTCGACCTAGTCGTCATCCCTTGGGGCGCTCTGGTGAACAAACGTTCCCCCAGATACTGCCGCTGTTTCCAAATGGCCATTCCATGCTGCTACTTCTTTGTATCCCTGTTCCTCTATGGAGCAGAGGGAGCCCACTGCTCAGGTGCAGATAGTGTTTTCCATGAGAGAAGGCTGTTGGGAGCAGACAGGGCTGCTCTGCTTTTGACATAGGCAACTGGAGCTTCCCAGTTTGTAAAGAGCCCAGAACTTCAAGGACTTCTTCATAGTTTCCACACTTTGTATGAAAAAGCCTCAGCCTATTCCCTTATCACTCCTCCCCTTCCAAAGACACACATTGGTTCTTGTGCCCACTGCCCAGAGACCTTCTCTGTACCTTCAGAGGAAAGGAACAGGATGTGGAGTGGCCAAAGAGGCAATTTTGCCCTCTCCTTCTCCTGACAGTCTGCTGTTGCTCATCATCATTCTCCTGAACCACCCCTTTAGTTTGTGGAGCAGCAGAAAAGCAGGGATTGTAATGCTAAACATATGCTAGAAAGATAGCTCAAAAGCTCAATGGCATGGACTGCTGCCATGGAATAACAGAAGACCATACCTTGAGAGTATAATGCACCTGCCTAGGAGTCTCGAAGGCTGCTCCTCAAAGGAGTATGTGACTCTTTAGGTGTGATGCTGTACACAGGGCCATCATCTGTCAGCAGCAAAATATTATAGTTATAATATTTAGGCCCTTCAGAAGACCTGAGCTGAATTATTCAGTTTCTTCATGTGACAGCTACCCAAAAGCAGCTTTACAACCTTTCAAATACTTGGCTTTTAGCTATCTATGGTAAGCAGAACTTGTGCACTAGTTATCAGGCTGCAAAGCTAGTCTACATGGCATTCCACAGGTTGTGTAGATTACAAACTGAAAATATGTAAGGCAGGTGCCTTTCTTCAGGTCTTGGACATTAGGGCTGTGTGAAACGGCACCATTCTGTTTTGACTCGCGTTTTGATGTTTCAATGGAACAGCATTTCATTTTGAATTTTGTTTAGATTCAAAACAGCTGTTCCATTTCGTTTCGTTGAAACAGTTTTGCTGTTTCAACTTTTCACCCAGAGGCTATAATGCGGAAGCCCAAAACAGCCTATAACTTTGTCATTTCTAGCCTGATTTGGATGAACAGTGCAGGAATGGTAGCCCCTTCTGAGGGCATGAAGTCTGCCAAATTTCAAGGAGCTAGGTGGAGGGGGTTTTGGGGAAATTGCACCTCAAGTTGCAGACAAGCAAAACTCGTGACATGGGCAACACTGTCTATTAGGGTGCAGAAGGGTGAAAGTTGCAGGGATGCTAGCCCCTGCTGAGGCCACGAAGCCTGCCAGCTGTCAAGGAGATAGGTGCGGGGGGAGTCTGGATTCTGGGCCCTACACCTCTAGCTCCTGACAGGCAAAACTCGTGACATGGGTGGGTGGCACTGCGTGTGAAGGGCTCCCTCACTCAACTGACCCCAAGGCAGAAAGCAGGGCAGTTCAAACAATGGTGCCTTTTATGCAGTTTTTCCATCCCTCCCCCAGAGCACTGGGATTGGAAGGGACCTCAGGGAAGGATAACAGTCACTGGCCAGCTACACAGTCAACAATGAGAGTACTCCTTCCTCCCCTTCCCCCCTCTTCCCCCTCCCTCTCCTTACTTTAGTTTCTGTTTCCCTGCAGGCAAACCTGAGCTTTGAAATATTTTGAAAATTTCAAAATGTTTTGACTTGCCTTTTTTTTCAAGGCTGTTTCAAAGCTCTCTGTTTCATTTCAATTTCACTGTTTCGAGCTTGAAACGAGTCGAAACAACATAGAAACGAAACTGCCGGTGAAATTTTGCACAGCCCTACTGGACATGCTTCTCAGATCTGAGAAGGGGCACTTGCCAAAAAAGCTTGTCCAACAACCCTCCCCATTATACAGTTGGTACAATATAATCACAAAAAATCCTTCCTTCCCCTACATTTTCTGGACCTTAATGGCTACAACACTCCATCCCTAAACACACAGAGACAGTTTTCCCCATCTGTTATAGAGATTATATGCTTGATAAGGCCCTTATATATCATCAGTTCTGCAGGTAGGAAAAAAAACAAGATGGCTTATCCCATTTATATTGCTTTTCTGGAACTCTGTGCAATTTTTGGCATGTACTAGAAGTTACATACATTTTTACTATTAAGACCAAATATTCTTTCTCTTATACCAGTCAACCCAGTATTTATGGTTATTAATAGGCATCCTTTGCTAGGTTTCATTCTTTAAGTATGAAACTGGACCTAAAATGATTGGCTTCTGCCCCATCACTTATATATAGCAAATTTTAAAAAATGGCATGAGAAACGCATTACCATTTTGGAACTGTAATAACAGGGGGATGACCTCATTTTACTGAATGTAAGTAAAATAAGAATGTGATCCAGCTTCCCCTGAAGTCAGTGAAAGGCTTCTATTGACTTAAGTAGGCACTGGATTAACCTAAAAAGAATAACACAAAAAATGATTCATGCTCTGCATTAAGTCCTTGATGAATTGTGTTTTTAAAAGTTATCAAGTATGAGAGATGAAGAATAAAACACTAGAAATAGAAAATTTATTGTAAAAATATAAGCAACATCCAAGGCTCCCTTTTTATAATAAAGTTTAATTGCCAATAAAATGAATTTAGACACTTTAATCTCAGGAAAATGAATGGCTGAAAGAGTTAACACTCATAAAGCATCTCTCACCTCTAGGTTTCCAAATACAATAAAAACAGAATGAGTTGAATTTTCTCTTAAAAGGATACTGAGACAGAAGAGAAACGATTTGCTTCTGCCTGTACAGCAGGTCTATAGTAGATGCATTAAAAGAACCCAGGTCTCCTAATGCCTGGTACAACGATCCATATACTGAGCACTCCTGCGAAATCCATGAATGGATATATGAGAAAATGAATTACAAGTTGTAATATTATGCAAAAAAGAGAAAAGTCACAGTCAAGACATGTTTAGAATTACATTATCTTCCATACAGAGAGGGTCTTTCTGGAGGGCTGTGGTGCTGAAGGAACTGACCAGCACGGTGCTGTCTGTTTACAGTTGCAGGATTTTCAGGCAAGTTACCTTCCTTTTTCTGTCTCAGTTTTTTCCAACTAAAAATGGTGCCTAACATGTTGACATCATTTGTGAAGTGCTTGGGCAACTGTGAACTATATATGACTTAGGTATTGTATCTATTTATTAATTACTTCATATAAACAGAGAATAACTACTGTAATCAGCAGATGTTTGGCACTAATAAGGCTTGCTAGATTTTGCTCAGAAATAAACGTTTATATGAGAAGGTTACTAAAATACATACTGCTACATGTATTTGGAATTGGCATAAAGGAATGTGATCTACAGTAACTGCAGAAGATAATTTTCTAATACATGGTATATTCTTCACAGCCACACACATAAAGTTTTAAACAGAAAGATGAAAGGACTAATTTCTCTTAGCAAGCCTTGGGTTTTAAAAGTAGCAGATATACATGTTCTGAATGGAAGACCCTAATTATTTTATGTTTAAATGCTTTGGTAAATATATAATTCTAAGAAATAAGGTGCACATTTTTAACAGTCTCACCTCGGTCCTTGGGAAGATCTTTGAGAAAATAATCAGGGAGCACATCTGCAGGGGGCCAGCATGGGAGGTAATGCTCAGGGGCAACCAACACGGGTTCATTGAGGGCTGATCCTGCCTGACTAAACTTGTTTCTTTTTATGACCAGGTCCCAAAGTCCTTGGATGTGGGCATTGAGGTGGACGTTGTTTACCTGGACTTCATGAAGGCCTTTGACACTGTTTCTCACCCCATGCTTGTAAATAAACTAAACAACTGCGGCACTGATGCCTACACAGTCAGCTGGATGGCAAATTGGCTTGATGGTTGCACCCAGAGAGTGATGATGGACAGGTAATTTTCAACCTGGAGGGATGTGGGCAGTGGAGTTCCTCAGGGTTCGGTCCTCGGGCCTGTGCTATTCAACATCTTTATCAGCGACATGGAGGTGGGCATGGAAAGCACGCTGTCCAAATTCGCTGATGACACGAAGATGTGGGGAGAAGTGGGCACACTGGAGGGGAGGGACAAAATCCAACTAGATTTAGACAGGTTACAGAGGTGGTGGGCAGATGAGAATAGGATGGAATTCAACACAGACAAGTGCAGGGTGCTGCATCTAGGGAGAAGGAACCTGCAACACACCTATAGGCTGGGGAACACCCTTCTCATCAATGCAGTGGCTGAAAGAAATCTTGGAGTCATTGTAGACTCCAGGATGGACATGAGTCACCAATGCAAGGAAGTGGTCAGTAAAGCTAACTGCACCTTGTCATGCATCTACAGATGCATCACAAGGAGGTCCAGGGAGGTGATCCTTCCCCTCTATGTGGTACTGGTCAGGCCGCAGTTGGAGTATTGCGTCAAGTTCTGGGCGCCGTACTTCAAGAAGAATGTGGCTAGCATTGAGAAGGTCCAGAGGAGGGTCACTTGCATGGTCAGGGGCAGCAGGCAGGCCCTACGAAGAGAGTCTAAAGGGCCTGAATCTATTCAGCCTCCACAAGAGAAGACAGAGAGGGGATCTGGTGGCCATCTATAAACTCACCAGAGGGGACCAGCGGAAAATAGGTGAGGATCTGTTCCCCCAGGCACCACTTGGGATAACAAGGAATAACAGCCACTAATTGATTGAGAGCAGTTTCAGGCTTGATATCAGGAGGCATTACTTTATGGTTAGGGCTGCCAGGCTCTTGAATAGGTTCCCAAGGAAGGTGGTGCTCTCCCCTACCTTGGGGGTCTTCAAGAGGAGGTTGGATAGATATCTGGCTGGGTCATTATGATCCCAGCACTAGTTCCTACCCAGGGCAGGGGGTCAGATTTGATGATCTGTTCAGATCCCTTCTGACCCTAGAAACTATGAAACAGTGAGTGTAATTAAACATTGAAATGACACTTACGGATTCAGTGGGGTCTGTGTTGTACAGTCTTTAAATCAAGACCTGATGTCTTTTAGAAAGATGTGCACTAGCTCAAACAGAAGTTATTAGCTGTTTCAGAAACATTTGGGTGAGTCCTTTGAACTGTTTCATGGAGGAGGTCAGACTAGACAATCATAATGCTTCCTTCTTAAAAACTATTGATCTAAATATGAATACATACTTTAAAAGAAAAGTGCAAAGAAAGGTACCATTATTTGCTTGGCCTGAATATCTTGTAGCTGTGATAAATGGTTTTGACTCAAAATGCCAGGCTTTCACTTTTACTTTTTGGAATGCTTTCTATCCAAGCTACAAAGTTCCAATAAGGATGCTTGATGCTGAAGTTCCCATAGGGTAGTTCATACCTCAGGTTTTATTTTAAACCCTGTGAAAGCAAGGATCATTTGCAATATCTAGAACTAAATCTGTAAGAGTGGAGTTGATGGTACGGAAAGGTGTAACTGACAAGTATGATCAAAGTGTTTCATGATATGCCAAAAAGGACATAGATCCCTTTGTGAAATAACAGGCTATGTGCTTTGAAGGGCATGCCCATGCTCCTGCTGCAGTCTTTCCCCAGACAGCCAATATCTTTCTATATAGTATTGTATAGAAATGATAAAGAAATGGGGCCACTATATTGCCCCATTGCTATTGTATCTGAGCACCTCAATGATAAATGAATTAATCCTTAAATACCCCTTCTAAGGGAGGAAAGTGCCATTATCACTTTTCCATAGATTGTGCACAAAGGCATTGTTACTCAGTTTTCCAGTGACATAAGAAAGTAGTAAGGGGTAAAGCTGAAAGTAGAACATACATTTTCTGACTCCTACTCTGACTGTATCTTTAACATCATGTGAGAGATTTTCTATCTCATACTTGTGGATATTTGGAATGTATTTTGTCTTCATCTGGCAGACAAGAGGGTTAGTCACAGAGGATTGATTACTTTCTTCACTGGGGATAAAAGAGGAAAAGCAGAAGTTGGGAGAAAGGAAAGGGGAAAAGATGATGGAGGGAGTATACATACAGTTGTACAGCTTCACAAAATGCTGTTCTTAAAGTGATATGAAGAGAAGAGGTCAGAATAGCATATGGCTGTATAGTCCAATGGAGAAAGAACCAATATGCAAGTCAGGAGATCTTTGTTATTTTACCAACTTCTAGTCCTGGATGCTCATAATGGTTCCTTCTGACCTTAAAACCTTTCAATGGAGGAAATTGTGCCTGGCTTGAATCCACTAGTACATTCAATCGTATCTAACAAAGGGTATATTTTAATCAGTCACAGATAAATAAGAAATGACATTTCACTAAGTTCTACCTCTCCGCAAAAGTCCTAGCAGTCAGTCAGGCCTTGAGGTTAGCCACCAGAGGGAGCCCATGCAACCTCATCAATTTCAGAAAGACCATAATATTGACAAAAGAAAACTTATCAAAATATTTATGAATGCACTAAAGATTATAAGCAAAGTGCCTTTCCTTTCACAAGAAGATTTTATGTGAAATCTCATGAAAATCAGACTTAATTTGATGTTTGTCTTAGAGCTTCAACATGGAAGAGATAAGAAGAAATGTAGAGGTTAGGTGTATGAAGGCAACAAAGAAAGCTACAATAATGAAATGACTAGTCAGGGATAATGTAAAACATGACTAAAGAGGAAAATAATGACATAAAATCCTATAATGATTCATTTCCACTACACCTTTCCCTATTTTGTCCATTAAGTCCTGCTGGCTGTCACAGGAGTTAAATCAGATGCTTAGGTTGCAAAATCTTTGGGAAAATAAACTTTGGGAAAAGAAACTGTATTGTTTAAAAAAACAACAGACTTCTTCATTCATCTTTTCTCAACAAATTTCTAATATGCACCAAAAAGCACTTTTAAACATGAACATAATAATCCTGAATATTCTGAGGAACAAAATTTAAACAAGCCTTCAGGTCAAATGAATAACTCACACAGAGGTATTTGTTGGACTTTTTTTCTTTGAAAAAGATCATTGTCCCTTATGAAATGTTATATTTTTAGTTGTAGTGTTTTGAATGCATTCATTGATTTCTTCTTGATATAAATACTACTAACAGGTTTGTGAAATGTCAAATTGAAGTTTATGAAACTGGCTAAGATTTATGAAATTCCCCTTCAGAACAAATTATAAATTTCCTATGATGACTTTATTGGAAAAATATCAAAGAAACATCTCTCTAATTATACAAACTTATATTGTGTTATTGTGGTTACTGCAGACCTTCATCTAAAACCTGGGAACAAAGTAAACGACAAAATCAGGATGGAGAAAGGGGAATTGGGATTCAATCTCTGCATCCCATGGACTCCAAAAAACTGCTAAGGACCGTTGTATATGTGATAGCTGAACAAGGTGCATGAGATATCTCTGGCATCACAGATGCATCGTTGATACACAAACATGGCCATTTGTCATGCAGGGTTTATACCATTTCTTTCCAAGGCCTGTCAGGTAATCTGTGCATATAAGAAGTTTTTTGAGGTGTGCCATCAACTCCAATGACTTCGCCTGCCATCTTAGATTCTCTCCCCACGGACAGGCCACAACAATACGCCCTCAGTGTGTGTGAAGTTTGGTTCATGCTGGTACAATGAGGGGAAGGGGGGAACCCATGCTTGGCAGGTGCTGCAGTCAAAAGAAGCCCCTGATAATACTATTCCAATGGAGGCATGCTACCAGGGAGCTGGATGACACCCAGGGCCACTGCAGAGGCCCTCTGTGCGCATAGCTGTGATCTCCTATGGATCTCAAAAGAACCTCCTAGTTTGTGGTGCTTTTCGTGGAGGAAGCAATCTCTTCATTTCTCCCCCGTACTGCCCTGGAACGAGACAGATTTCTTTGTTTTTGTCCACAGAAGAGAACAATCTGAGAAATGAATACTTCAACACAATCTGAAAGAGAATTAGATCTCCCAGCAGTTTGGATATTGCTTCCAGTCTGAGACGTATGGATGTGTATCACTATCTTTTGAGCAGTGGCTCTCAGCCGCTTTACTCATCTGAATTTAGCAGCATCCTCTGCGGATGCGGGCAGAAGAAACCCCTCCTTTTGCCACACAAGGGAGACCAGCCCCCCACCCCCACCTTTGCCTCAATGCGTGAAGCTCATGGGGTACCCTTTGCCTGCCAGGAAGTGCAGAGATAGGAGAAGCACTTCCTCTATCCTGTCTGGCATTGCCACTCTGGGCTCTCAGGTGAGCCAGCCCAGCAGCAGCACCCTTATGGCAACCACTCCCATCAGGCTAGGCTGCAATGGGATGCACCCCCCTGCAACATCCATTTCCCAGTCTGACCACAAACAACACATTTAGAAACAGTGTCTCTATCGTCTGATGGACAGGGCTGATGCCTGAGTGCTAGAAGACTGGAATTCTGTCTTCAGCTCTATCACTTCCTCTGTGTGACCTATATTAGGTTGCCATCATTTTGCACATTCATTAATTATGATGATTATGACATTGATGATATTTTATGACAGGCAAGGATTTATTACATCTGTTTATTACCCAAGTAGACAGACCACAGATCTGATCCAGAATGGAATGTTTTATATCCCTCTACTTCTTTTGCCGTGTTTCATGGTAGGAATAATAAGTTGCTACTGTTTTTTACATGGATTTACATGCGAGGGCCATGAAGCAACAGAGGTGGAACTATAATTCTATTCTTTTCTTCTTGAAACCTTATTCACCTGCTGCATTATTCCCTTGGTAAGTAAATTATTGTATTCTTGGTACCATGCTCAGACTTTTTTACTTTATGTGCAGATATGTAATCAGATGGCGTAGGCATAAGATGATACTTATTTTAAATGTGTTCTTATGTTTCTGAATAAATTCTGCATTACTCTCTATTGAGGTCTCACAACAAATTAGCACATTGCAGGTCACCAGAAATTGTCTTTTAAAAATACATTGGAATAATTAATACTGAAATGGAACACCAGAAGCATTCAAGATCAGTAACAGTTTGCTGGTCATAATACAATTGTTATTATAAAGGCTGCAAAGCAAATGCGTTCAATCACTTTTTTTCTACAGTTTATGCAAAGGACACAAAAGACCTTCTTCCATGTATGTTCTGACTATATATGTGGTATGTGCACACATCTGTAGAAAGAAAATAGTTAAATTCCACAAATGTTGAAGGAATAGCCAGATAAAAAACCGCACAGACACCCAGTGAGTTGCATTTTTCATGTACCTCAAACATGCCACTAGCATTCTGACTCTAATCTTTCTCCACCAGGATTTAATATACTAACACTCCAGGCAACTTTAAACAGCTAGCAATCCTAATTAATGAAAGCTCTGACAGAGAAAGTCCTCCCTTGTTATTCCTCTAACCCCACCCTCACCACAACTGGACAGCTGAATGACAATGGATGCCTTGTGAAAGCATCAAGGCTACGAATGGGCTGTTTGTAACCAGTTGTGAATTACCTTTATAGACCACCAGACCAACAATCAGTTTTGGCCAATACCTTTTCTCTGACAATGGCTAATTTCAGCTGCTTCAAAGGAAGTTGTAAGAAAAATTGTAATGGAATGCCTTGCCGCAAGGGGAAGTTTCTTCCTAATGTACATCAGCTATCAGTTACCTAATGCAATTAGAAATGGAAGGTTCCAACCTTTTTAAGGATATACACTGCTTCACTGCTTCTACCTCTGAAAAGTAGAAGACCTAAGAGTCAAAGATAGTAGACTTAAAAATTATGACATTATTGTATACAGAATAGACATTGTTGTCCATTTCTGGAGGTTTATAGAAATTTAATAAGTCTAATTTTTAAAGCTAATACAGCTAAACATGTCCATTAAAATGAATGGAAAGGCTCTAATTTGAACTTTAGAACAGATCCTTGGCTTCTTAGTAACTCAAATATCTCTCTCTTGAGCCAAAAGAATGCAAAATAAAGAAGCATAAGTAAATCTTTTCCAATTTAAAAAAAAATAGTTTATTTTAATTTTATTAAAGTTTAGTAAAATGCACATATATTATACATGTCATTTAGTGTTTTATTGATAATTATATGTAATGATTTCTACTGTACAAGTAACTGATATGGTTTTAATGAGCAAAATGTAGAGGTGCATTGATATATCAGTTGCATATCAGACTGGCACAGGTAACAGGAAAATTAACGTTATTGGCAATCAGTTTTTTTGGTTGATAAAGTCATGCATACCCACAGTCACAGCATGCACACAGCCAGGAACACAGCCCGGCAGCTTGGAGAACAGCCTTCTGCTGGTAAGTCTGTGGGGGGGAAAGGGCATGAGAGGGAAGGAGAGTGCGGGGTGGGGTACAGATTGAGGCCCCCACAGTGAGGGAGGAAGTAGGGCTGGGGCAGGAGCAGGCACTACCCAGCCAAGGCAGTGAATGCAACCCCAGGGTGGGGCGCAGGACAGAGCTGTGAGTGGCTCATCCAGGTGACGTGGGGGTGGGGGATAACTCCCCACCAGTGCATACCCCTCCTGGAGAGACATAGGAGGCATGTGCCCCCCAGATTTGTGCTCATGGCAAGGGCAAGCTGCCTATTGCAGGCTCAGGGCACTGCCAGCCTCTTCTTGGTGGGCCAGGGCTCCACTAAGGGCACATGGGGATAGGGTGGACTCAGCTGCGTGGGGCAGGCAGCACTGACAGTGGCACTAGGCAGGTTTTGGGGGGCTATAGACACCTCAAAATCCTTCACATGCTTCCCTGTGACCATCCCTCCAAGCACTGCCATTGCCACATACCCCACACAGCTGAGCCTGCCCCACCCCCACCAGCTCCAAGTGCAGCCCCAGCCCAGTCCCAATGTGAGGAAGAGGCCGGTACAGCCCCTGGCCCTGAGCCTACAGTAGGCAGCCCTACCTCACCATACACACCAATCTGGGGGGCACATGTCCCCCATACCTCCCCTGGGGGTGTGCACAGCATGTGTGTGAACATGTGTATGGAACCCTGTTGCTACTGTGATGGTGTGACAACCTCTTTGTGGTGCTTATATGCATATTGCCATTGGTATGCAAAGTCAGATTATGGGGACTGTGTTTCTTTTCTGCAGATCTTCCACTGGTGTGCATGGGTGAGGGAGTGAAAAACTCTTTTGTGCTTGTTTTGACTGTAATAACATATTTTAAATGCTTTTAATACGTTCACTATTAGAGACCAGGGAAATCAGGTTTGTGCACTGGTCCTGCCTTCTAAAATTGTAAAGTTCCTAAGGAGACTGATACTGTAAGAGAAAGTTTAGTAAACAAATCTAATTGAGATGCCAGTGCTCACCATGACTTGTATGGAATTATAAGGTGAAGGGACCCCCCAGCTCAGGAATCACAAAGGGAGAATGGAGAGGCTCTAGATTTCAGCTCTTCTAGTGGGGGATGGCATTGCATCTCACTATTCAACTGTAAAGAGATAAGTGCTAGTGATATACAAATCCCTTTACTGGGTTGCATCTGAGCTTTGTTACCCACTTGGCTGTAAAGAGCTGAAATTCTTAGGGTACTATCAGGTAAAAGTCTGATACTTCCAAATCCTGTAGAGCTGAAATTACATCTAAAAGAGCCAGGTTCCCTTTGTGAGAAGACAAGCAGCGCTCCCAAGCAGTGGTGATGGTGATGAGTAGCACCCACATGCCCCAGCAGCAGCGAGGAGCAGTGCCCCCCAGCAGCAGCAAGGAAAAATGGAGAACAGTACCTCCCAGCAGCAGTTAGGAGCAGCGATCCAGCAGTGGTGAGGCAAGGGAAACCTTGGCTTAGAGCTACACTAGATCTCCATTATCAGAAGTCCCTATCTGACCAGTACTTTCCACAAGGCTTTGTGATTGATGGAATCAAAGGTGTTAATGAGCTCAGTGAAAGCCATATAGAGGTTGTGATGTTGTTCCCGACCCTTTTCTTGGACGTGGCGGTCAACAAAGATCATGTCAGTTGCTCCTCAGGTGCTCTGAAACCACTCTGAGATTCCAGCAGAACTTCCTAGGTAGAAGACAGTTCAGGAGGATGTGGGCAACGATTTTCCCTGCTGTGGAGAGGTGAGTGGAACCTCAATAGTCCTCACATGCAGACTTATCGCCTTTCTTGAAGATAGTCATGATATTGATATTCCTCAGGTCCCCAGGGGTCTCTTCATTGTTTCAAATTCATAAAGTAAATTTGTGGAGTCTTAATACCAGTTCCTGGCTTCCAGCCTTGTAGATTTCAGTATGTAGGCCATCTGGCCTAGTAGCCTTGTTCTTGGTTTCCTTGATGGCACACCAGACATCTTTTAGGATAGGAGGATTGGTGAGGGATCCCCTGTCAGGGTGCTGGGGTATAGACTTGATGGCAGTGTCTCCCACAGTTGACTCACAGTTCAGGAGTGCCTCAGAGTGCTCTTTCCATCTAGCCTGGATAGATTCATTGTCTGTGAGGAGTGTTGAGTCATCCTGAGATCACAAGAAGCTGGTAGATTTCCTTCTGCTGAGATGAGGTATCATCTTGCCAAACAGAATGAGCCCTTTTCTTTGGGTCAGCATCACTATCATCAAACCAGCCTTTGTGACAATGGGTGGTATAGCCAATGGATTCAGCAGAGGCTATATGGATAGCAGTTTTACACCTCTTCCAGAGTTCCTCAATGTTGCTTTCATTTGTGGAAAGGGCAGAGGCCTTTCCATGGAGATACTGTTGGAAATGCTTATAGATCTTCAGGTCTTGAATAAATTTGGTGTTGAGGGTCCTTTGTATTGGTTTTGGCTGTTTTTGAAGTTTCAAAGCAAGCCAGATATTTATAATGGATCTGACAAGACAGCGATCTATCCAGCAGTCATCAGTTTCTCACATGGCCTGAGTGATATGGACATCTATTTGATCATGTGCTCTAACAATTACATAGTTGAGGAAGTGCCAGTACTTAGGTGTCTCCATGTATTCTTGTATTTGTCACACTGTCTGAAGACAGTGTTTGTGATGACCGTGAGACCTGGTTCTTTTATACAAAGTCCTTAATTAACAATTAACAAGTTTCCGTTCAGCTCCATTGCCAGTCTGATTCCTTAATTAGCAATTAGCGAGTTTCTCAGACTGCCCACTGCCAGTCTGTGAGTCCTTAGCTTTCTGGCTTGCTCTGTAACAGGACCAGTGGCTCCCTGTTACAATGACAAGACAGTACTCTGCACATTTGCTCAGAAGGATGCTGTTGGAGTTGGCTTTTCTGACTCCTTTCTTCCAGTGGTGTCACTCCAGAGTTCCAGGTCATGTCTGACTGGCACTGGAGTCACCAAAGAGAATGATCTTGTCCAACTTGTGAGTGTTAGTCAGAATGTGGTCAAGGTTGGAGTAGAACTGTTCTTTGACATCAGCATCAAGCATTGGGGCATATGCACGGCCATCCCGGGGGGGCGGGGGGTGTCAGGGTGACCACCCCAGACCCTGCACTTTGGGGGGCCCTGCAGTTACTGCCATACAGGCCCCGCCCATGGGTGGTGGAAGGGTGGGCTAATGGGGCTCAGCCCCGCCAAACACAGGACAGCAGATATAGCTGGAGGGCAGCCCTGCCACAGGGGGAGGGGCATGAGCGCACACAGATACCTGCACAGTTGCAACCAGGATTGCAGTGGGCCCAGCTGGAGGCAGGTAAGTTCCTTTTAATTGGGCTTGGGGGTGGAGGCAGATCGAGAGTGAGGTAGGGGCTGGGTGAATCATCCATCCTGCCCTGCTCCCTCCTGCACTGTGATGATTTCCCCATGACCCAGCCCAGCTGGGGCCCTGTTCACAGTGAATCGGGCCCCGGCCAGGCCAGGTCGTGGGGCAGTTGGAGCCTGGTGGCTCCTCCAGAGCCAGTGCGATGCCAGGGAGCAAGGTGGGGGGCACAAGGGTCCCCGATCTTTGCCTAGGGCAGGGGCAGGCTGCAGCTGGGTTCAGACTCTGTTCTCTGCACCCACGCCATGCTGCCACTGCTGCTTTGAATGTGGCACGGTGCAGCGCCATGTGTCTTGCTGCCAGGCCTGCCTAGCGGCAGGATGCACATGTTGCCACGCCACTTTCAAAGCAGTAGTGGCAGCAAGGCATGGGTGAAGGGAACATAGGCTGAGCCCAGCTGAGGCCCACTCCTGCCCTGTGCAAAGATTGGGGGCTCATGTGCCCCCCACTCCACTCCCCGTCGCAGCATTGGCTCTGGAGGAGCCACCAGGCTCTGATTACCCCACAACCCAGCCCAGCCGGGGCCTGATTCACTGTGAATGGGGCCCTCGCTGGGTGAGGTCATGGTGCCCAGTGGCTTGTCCAGGGGCATGGTGTGAGGCAGACAAGATGGGGAGGACATGCCCGCCCTCCCCGGCTCCCCCATGGTGCATGCAGCAAAAGGAGCTAGCTGCCTGTGCCCCTGGAGGAGCCACCAGGCTGCACTGGGTTCTTCCCGGGGATGACTCGGGCAGGGGGGGTGGGGGGGTGGACAGGTCCTGGGGACTCCATTCTCTCCGGCCCAGTGGTGCAGCTGAGGTTGGCCCCAGTCCAGGCCCCACCAGGTGGTGTGGGGCTGACCCTGGTGTGGGGTAGTGGTTTGTAGGGTTCACCAGTGCCAGGCAATGACCCCAGATGCTGGGGAAGGGGCAGCCTTGTGGCCACAGCAGGCCCCAAGCCCGGTGCCTCCTCCAGAGCTGGTGTGGCACCGGAGAGCCGGGGGGGAGGTATGTGGGCCCCTGATCTTTGCAAAGGGCAGGGGTGGGCTTTAGCTGGGTTCAGTCTCTGCTCCCTGTGTCCACACCTTGCTGCTGCAGCCCTGCACCCTCGGCCCTTTCCCTTCCCCCCACCCCTTCCCCTGCAGACTCTCCTCCTGGGGTGGGGTGTGCATGTGCACATGCGCTCAGGACCCCCCCATTTTTTTTCCTCCTTGACCTATGGCCCTGCTGCAGCTGCCACACACCACTGAGTGCCACCGGCTCATCTGCTCGCTTCCCCCCCACACTCCACTGCTGCTGCTCATCAACTGCCCGCCTTGCCCCACACAGGCTGATATGCCCTGGGTCCCACACACCCCTAGGGACAGCTGTGGACATATGCATGTGCTGATAATGGTAGCATAGTGGTTGTTGCTGATCTTAAGATAGAGTCCTAACACATTTGTTCATACCCACAGGGAATTCTGCAAGGTGACTGACAAGCTGATTCTCGATGGGGAAGCCGATACTGTGAACCTGTTTGTCCTTGACTGGTTTCCCCTTCCAGAAAAAGGTGTAGCATCCATCTTCTTCTCTCAGCAGACCATCATCCAGTCACCTTGTTTCACTCAAAGCTGCAATATTGATGTTGTATCTCACTAATTCCCTGGAGACAATGCCAGTCCTTCTTTCTGGTCATCCATTGTGTTGGTTATCCATCAATGTGCAAATCTTCCATGTTGCAAAAATCACTCTCTTCTTGTGATGTTTTCAACCACAGACAGAGTGATCCTGCTGGATGCAGTTATCCAGCCAGGAGCACATGAGACAGCTTAGGTTTAGGGCATCTTTTCTTGCCACTTTCCCATGTGGGGTGGGCAGAGAGGATCCTGAATAGGACTGCTCAGCCACAGTAGCAGCTGCTGAACTGCACTTGTCTCTCAATCCAGGTGCAAGGAGACCATCAAGTTACTGCCTGCTGCATGCAGATTTGTGGCTGGAGATCAATAGGTTCACTAGTCCTGTCTCCATCACCACTGATCCATTGTCATAGGGCTTTTGGAGGTTGGTACACGAGAAGCCTGAGCATGACTGTTTAACACATGGAAGCTGGTGCACAGAAAAAGCTATCATACAGTCTTGACAAGTTGGACATCTGAGCCCAGTGGCAGGGGAGAACCCACACAACAGGGTACCTCCATCTTGCTGTTCCCTTCATCCGTCTTTACCATTATTGAGATCCTGACATCCTGGACTCTGGTGTGTTTGGAACCTCCTCCCAGGCCTGTTCGCCTTGGATAACCCTGCCAGGAATGTGAGACTCTGAGTGACATACCTCTGAGGGTCACTGGGATACACAAGCCTCCCCACCACTACAAGGTCTCAGTCCATGGAAAGGACTACCTCTACTGACTACATTGTTCATCCTGTGTGGGACTAAGCAAGAACTCTGAACCTAATGACTGTGCTGAACTGCTAATAGTGGATTGAGGTGGGCTACTGGTTCTTAAATCTGTCATCCCATCTCCCTTTCCCACATTAATAAACTCTATTATAGTCTGGTATTGCTTGTGAGTGGGGAATTTGTTTACATTGGGACACCCAGGCAGAAATTATTTTCCTGGGTTTTTGGGGACTCGAGGCAAGATAACTGATTTGTGTAAAAGAACTCAGCCTTTGTTGCTGACATCTGGTGCCTGGCAGAAGTTACATATATGTATTCATACATGTGTCATTCATCCCTGAAACATGGAAGATGCCATATTTTGGCCAATTTTGGAAATATAAACTTCATTGCTGAACAAGAAGGAAAGATTTTGTTTGAGCCTCCCTGCCTTTCTGACATATGATACCTCCAGGGATGAGAACAGCCTTATCTGCACATCAAGGAGCAAGTCACACAAAGGACTCTCAGGGACCCAGGGGAACAGATATCCAGCCTCAAAATTCCCCTGTGCAAAATGAAGTTTATTTTCTACCTAAGAGGATTTTTACAATCCTGGATTTGTCCTCAGCTCGAAGAAGGGCACGTGTGCCTGAAAGCTTGTATAGCAAGATAAGTTTTCTGAGATTTCTTAGTTGGTTTATTAAAAGGCATCATCTCTGAACCAAGAGTTCTAGAGTTTTGCATGTCATTCATCTATGCATTCATACTAAATTGATGGAAATATGCATATGCTTACTGCAAGATATTTTTCATACATCTGATCTCATTTAATGTGCTTCTGTGTTACATCCTATAAAGAAGGGTGAGCTTGAATAGCTATAACAAAGTATATGGTAAATGATTATATTTAACTAGATATTCATATGCAGGCATGTAGGAATGGTTTATATCAACCCACAGCCAGAGCTGGCACTTTTGAGCTGACCAAATAGCCAGGGCTTTACATGGCATAATTATGCTATTTTTCTGGTACACATCTTCTTTGTTAATTTATTTGCTTAATGCTCATTGAGAATACAATATTTCTTCCATCCAAATTAGGTAGTAAAAAAGAGATACATCTTTTAAATACAACATGCACATTGCTTTTCTCAGCATGTTTTAACGGTACCCAAACAGATGTTCCTGTAAATGACATGTTGCATCTCTGTAGACCATTCTTGTATAAATATAAATTCATGCAAAGAAAATATGAGATTAAAATGTAGTAACAGATTGAACTTTTTGGGCCACTAGTGCTGCTTAGGGTTTATTTTACTAAAGTTAGAAATGTCATCTTGAATTCCAAGCTGCCAGTACAATTTGTAATGTGAAAATTCTAAAAGCCCCAAGAAGTAATCTGATTATATAAATATGGCAAGTGCCAAAGAATATTAAATTGAAGGTCTGAGTTAATAAGTTTTCCAATTAACTTCTTACTATTTTTTCTACTTAAAGGTGTTGCTTTTTATTTAAATAGATCACATTGCCTTATCAAAACAGCTGGAAAGTGAGTAGGCTTCCAAATGTAAATTAGCAACAGAGCTTCACTTATGTTTCGTGTGGAGGGAAAACTGGGAGCCAACACTGTAGTAGTCTGGTGCAGTATTCGGATAAAGGCACATTATGGTAAGCAAGCAGAGAAGCACACAGATGAGGTCAAATAGGCGTCTTACCACAAAAAAGGCAATGGCATCAGATACTAAAGATATAGACTTTTGTTTAGCATATATGGGTGTTTATACACATGGTCCAGGAGTGCTGGGGGGGAGAGAACCACTCTGATTGAAGTGCCTAGAGTGTCTCATGTATCAGTGTCCCTGAACTTCAAAATAGCAGTGGGGGTGCTTTATCTACAGGTCATCAAACAAGCTTTAGAAAAAGCACCCCTGCCACCATTTTGAACTGTGGAGATGCTGATACACAAGTTGTGGGAGGCTGCTGGAGCATGGTAATTGCCATGCTCCAGCAGCACAGGAGACGTGTAGGGGGGGCATGTGCCCTCCCCCTGACAGGGCTGACCCCGCCACTAACACTGGGTGCTCAGCATGCCCCCCCTGCAGTGGCGTACCGACAGGTGGGGCGAACTGTCAGTCCCCTGGTGGCACTTCTGGTTTTGCTGGCAGCACTTCCAGTTTTGCTGCTGGTGCTTCTGGGCTCAGCAATTGGCTGCTGAGGGACCCCCTCTTCCCCCATTCAGCTGTCGGGTGCCCCCTCCCCTGCCCCTGATTCAGGAGGCACCAGTCGCCTGTGTCCAGCAGACTAGATTAATCGAGTTTAAATTCCAGCACATCAGAGCAGCCTCCCTGCTCATATATAGGCACCCTATGGGATTTTAAAAAAGCAGTGTGTCCCTTCATCAAAACCGTGCTGTTTGCACTTCTATTTATATGTTCTGAAAACAATTAAAGATATAAATTGACTTTTATATACTAAGTACTTTGGTCTCAGCCATGTAGAGTTTTCAGATGCAACTAAATCCACTTTCACTGATAGTCTTTGGTGTTTAGTATTTTCTCTCATCTAGTTTTCTGATGACTGTCTGCATATAGAAGTATGGCTCACTTTACAGTGGGACTACTAGGGTTAAAGAGGGAAAGCCTTAGATATGGCATCTCTCACTATTACATCTTTAAGGCCTAGGGCCACTTAGGATGAAGATATATCTGTGAGGCTTTCCCAGTCTTGTTCTGAAATGTTGACCCATAAGTGGGATAAACATTTAAAAAAAATCATGAATCTGGGCAGAGAAAACCATGACTAAAATGATTTTTTTTAAACAGAGATTCTCTCTTATAGGACAAGATCCCTAAGCACTTCCTTGACCACATCTTTTATACTTCGATGGAAAAACAGCTTGTCCTTCTATGAAGTACCAGATTGGATGAACTAAGGGTTGCTCCCTTATGCCAGCTCCACATTTCAAATCTGTTCATTTTGATAAAAAGATGTGCTTTTTCTGTTGCCATTCAATGCGGCCAAGATTATCATTTATAGAACAGGTAGGCAAAAAAAATACGTTGCTGTATTCTACAGTGTGTGAAATATGCTGGTTGTCTCAGTCAGATTTCTAACTGAGGTATCCCATCAAAGAAACCATTACTATAATTGATATTGATTGGCATTTTTATTGGCAGACTCTATATGACAAATTCATACAGGACAGGGTTAAACTACTCTGGCACAATATTAGGTTACAAGTCTAATGTTAATACGTTTACATCCCCTTTTACGTGGTTGTGGAATTCAAGCCTTCTCTACATGCTGCCCGCTCCCTGGAATGGCAAGGCAACAGTTTTAGCTATCACCAGGCATCTTAGTTTTCTCTGTTTAAAAATCCCAAATTCTCTGATAAAAACATCCCAAATTCTCTACTTAAAAAACCCCAATATCCATGGTTTTCCATGATTCAAATGAAATGCCACTATATATTTATAGGTATCAGTTAAACACAATGTTTTACTGATATATTTACAATTTTAAAGCAACTTTGAAGACTAAGAGTGCCTCAGTCATTATAATAAAATAAATTCTAAATACCTATATATTTTGGCATTTGATTTTGGTTTATCTTGGAAAAATCAGAGTGCCTCCTACCCGCTTCTCTCACCAGGATGAGGGTCCAGCTGTGGCTGTCCCCACTGCTGCTTGGTGGTGCTGAGTTGCCCTGATTTATCAGTGCTCCTCACTCCCAAGCCACAGCCTCCCCAGCCATCAGTGCCCCTTACTCCCAACCCACAGCCCCCTGGCCCTGCTGATGCTCCTCAGTCCTGTTGGAGGGGCCCCCTACTGCCAGCAGCACCTGAACCCCAGCTACCACACAGGAGATGGCAGCTGCTGCAGCTGGAGGGACTGTGGAGTCTGGTTCCCTCCCACCCCAGCAACACAGCTGGAGTGGAGCCGAACAAAGCCTGTGTGGGGTGGAGCTGAATGTGGGCTGCCTACTGTAGGGCTCAGGGTTCCTCATGCATTTGCCTTCCCTCTAGGGGCCTCTACAGCCCTGAGGGTGGGATTTGGAGAAGGAGAGTGAGGAGGCATGGTGCTGCTGCTACCACCACTGCCCCTGGAAGGCCCACGCTAGCTTCACTGCCAAGGTAAGGCACCCCCTGCCTACCCATCAGCAGCAGGAGGGCACAACTCTGCACCTCCACCACCACTCCCACTGCTGCCAGGTGGCAGGGAGTGCCTTGCCTTGGCAGTACAGGACTCCTAGTGGTGGTGGCAGCAACAGTGAGAGTCTCACTATTCCACTCCAGCATCCCATGCTGGATCCTACTCACTGGATTGTGGAGGCTGCCGGGGGGGGAGGGCAGGATGGGGAGCCCCAAGGCCTGCAACAGGCAACCTGCATCCTACCCTGCCCCACACAAGTCTGGTGGGGATGCATGCCCTCCCATACCCCCCCCTCCCATGTCACCTGTAGTGCCCAACCCCTCCCCAGGAGTGTGTGCAGTGGCAGGGAGCCAGCCCCACAAAAGCCCACTGGGTGAGCTGTGTGGCCACACATTCCTACCCTGGCCCTGGGCACCAGCCCAGCTGGGCAGTGTCCCCAGCCCCAGATGCCAACCCTGACCCACTCCCTCCCTCACCATGGCTGCCTTAATCTGTGCCCGCCCCCCATCACCTATGCCCCTTCCCTCCCCCCTCATAGTCTTACCTGCTAGCAGCTGGGGGACCTGCTCTCCACCACTGCCTGAATGTATTGCTGGCCTTGTGCTTGTGTGCATGATGTAATTCTGCCAGCCTACAAGAGGAAACCAGCAGTTCCCTGTGTTTTTCTCCTTTAAAAATTAGCATTTTTCCACAGCAATTGGAAAACCTGGATTCCTGGCCATCAGTAAATCAGGTTTTTCTAAGAAAAAAAATGTTTAGCAGTTTCACACCCTTAGCAGTCATCCCAGCATTCTCTGATACATTAAATGAGCCATTTTTTCTTCACGTTGTTTTCAAGAAGTCTTGATAGGCTTATTCAGTTAAGAAAAGATTAATTGGACAATTCATATGGTGACCATCATATAAATACTGGAGCAAATGTGTCTGCATATCAGAAGCGATTCAATAAGACACATGCTTCTAGGCCAGAAAGCCCCTATACAGCACATTTCTTTTCTTGGTTATTTGAACGTTCATGTTATTCTCTATCATGCTTCAAAGGTTATTTTTAAAATCTTCAGTTTCAACTTGCACCTGGCACAAAACTCCAGGAACCACACATCTCAGTTAAAGGCCAACAACTGTTGATGGTCGACAAGTTTGCCCGTCTAGGCAGCACGCTCTCCCATGCTGTCCACATTGATGATGAAGTCAACGCGAGATTAGCGAAAGCTAGGGTGGCCTTTGGCAGACTCTGTAAGTCAGTCTGGGACCACAGAGGCATTAGAATGTTGACAAAACTGAAAGTTTACAAAGCCATCATCCTTCCGACCCTCCTTTATGCCTGCGAAACCTGGACAATTTATCAGCATCATACCAAGAAACTAAACCACTTCCACTTGTGCTGCCTGCGAAAGATATTAAAGGTCAAGTGGCAAGACAAGATTCCGGACACTGAGGTGTGCTTAGAAGATCAACTCTCCTCAGTATTCACACCCTGCTGAAACTGGCATACCTAAGATGGGCCGGCCACCTCTCAAGAATGCCTGACACTTGCCTGCCAAAGAAAGTCTTCTATGGCAAACTGTCAAATGGAGAACGCTTTTGCGGCCCACCAAAGAAGCGGTACAAGGACACCCTAAAGGTGTCCCTAAAGAGTTTTGGCATTGACCCAGAGTCATGGGAGCAAACGATCGTGACCATCCACCCTAGAGGTCCCAAATCCAGAATGGAGCATTGGCCTTTGAACAGCAACACATGGCAGAAGCAATGAAGAAACACATGGCTAGGAAAACAAAAACCTCCTGTATCCAGTCCTCATTGCTCTCCTGCCCCTGCTGCAGCAGACTGTTCAAAGCAAAGATCAGACTTATAAGTCACCTACATACTCACATGACCTAGCTTCTGCCCCCCTTCTTTCTCTTCCCTTTTCCTTCTTTCTCCTTTTCTCTTTTCTCCTTCCCAGGTCTTTCCTCTCTTCTTCCCTCCCTTCCTCCTGCTGGATGCAGTTGTCTTTGTCCATGAAGGATAAAAGTACAGTTTACCAAAAAAAAAGAGAGAGCTCTCATTTTACCTTCCCACCATTCATAAAAAAAATTAATGGTGATCAATTACATTTTCTGAAGGTAGAATTCACAGAATTACATATTTTAAAAGGGTCAAGATATTGCTAAGTGTATAGATCTACTGTCCTCTGTGCTGTAAGATAACGATTGACATGTCCTTTGACTCTCTTGGCTAATAAATACTTAATATTTTACTTGCCATCCATTTTTGAGAACCTTCATCGTCTCGACCTAGCCTACAGAAAGTCTAGATTGGATGGAATTTATTCCCTCTTATCTGTATATTAACAGTAAATTTTACACAAAGTTTAGAGCAGTGCTTCTTCACCTTTAGTGGCCACAGTACTAATCAAATAATGCACTATGGGTAACGTTACACTTTGTTCCTCCACCAACTACATTTTTAACTTTTTTTGTTTCTTGTAAGCAATATTGGAAGAACTTTTAAGCAACATACTTCCCACAAACCACACACTGGAAACCACTGGCTTCAAGTAAAGCTGAACATTTCTACAATGTAGCAAAATCCTTTAAAGGCAAATTTTGATTAAGATACTGTAAACTTTTCCTTCACAAAAAGAACAATTTCCTGTCTAAATCATTCTTCTTCTCATATATTAGCTGTAATATAGCAACCTGGCATATAATGGACTCAGCCCTCCAGCACTTCCTCTGTCAAAGCTCCTAGTGGAATTAGTGAGAGAACTTTGTCTGAGTAAGGAAAATGGTGGGAGATTCTTTCTGAACCACAAGTAAACTGTAAAATAAACTTTCCTAATTGTAAGCAGAATTCTGTCTTCATTCCTCTAAGACACTGAGCACTCTACATTTCCACTGAATTTGGATAACTCTTGAGGGTGTTCAACACCTCAAAGAATCATGTTATCTTGTAATTTGCCTTTATTGATAGGATCATTGTTTTTCATGTGGTTCATACCCCATTTACAAAATATGCATGGCATTAAAATTTTCCAATAAAAAGAAAGTTAAAAAAACCTTGCTATAAAGATAGAAATAATTTTATTACAGGTCTTATAATTAATACATATTATATATGGTAACCTCTGTGCCACTTTCTTAATATGAAACGAGAGTAAAATTTGTATATGTAAGTACACTTTGCAGAAATGAGCAGATTAGTCACATTGTTGCACTGATGTTTATAAAAATGTGCCTGATGTTTGCTTTAATTATATCTTGCCTTACACAACTAATTTGATGTCGTTTTGGTGATTATAGCGCATCCTTCTCTGCTTTCAAGAAATCCCACTGGCAGCAGGCATTCCCTTATTGCATACTTTAATAGTGCTCAGTAATCACTAACCAACATTTTAGTTATCTATGAAAAGCTGTTGACATTTTAACATAAAAGGGAATTGTAGCTGACTGTATCTTGCAGGGATTGCATTCTTTGTTATGCATCTCTTTGATTTTACTTCAGATGCTCACTATTAAGAATATCAGATGATTTTGATTGTCTTCATCAGTTGCCCTCAAAGCGGGAAAGGATCTAATAAGCTGCCACAGAACCCATCAAACAGTACTAAAATCTGTTGGAAAGAAGAAAAAAAAAAAAGAGAGAGAGAAAGAGAGAGTTCTTAGAATAGCATATACCATTTAGAAAATTATGTAATCTAAGGAAGACATATTACAAATATTTCTATTTTTACCCTTTGGTAAGCAGGTTAAGATACCTTCACCATTATTCAATTCTCCTCTTACCATAGAGAGAGGTGCTGGAAATCCTGTTAGTAGTGACAACTAAAACAGTTTAATTGCATTGTATCCTGACATTTAATTTCTATTATTATAGCATATAATCTAGCAACCTAGATATCTGAATGTATATGAAACTTTACTTTTGAGACACTGATACATAAATTATAAATAGCCTTTCAGATTCTGCAGCTATGTATTATTAATTAAAAACTAGTCATTCATACATTACATATTCAGACGGAAAATGCTCTTTCATTTTAAGTTATTTTTTAATAAGAAAACATATTAGTGTACCCCATAACATCGACTGGTGCTATCCTGGGTTTCATGGTCTCAGAGATGATGGTTTGCATTGCATACTGATTGTTAAAATCAACTAAGTGTGAAGAAGGAACATTGACAAAGACTTCTTTCTCTCTTGATAGGTTCTTAAAAGTGATGACAGCATGTCTTGATATGCCTTAATTTATTGCTGGATCTAAAAATAATTTGAAAAAAGATTTTTTTTTTTTTTTAATGGAATGGCATTATTTACCTTGGAGGTTTCTCAACTGTATTTTGAAAACTAATCAGGAAGTCTATCACCTAGTTCTTGGGGGAAATAAAAGAAACAAATACAATGTTTAAGCACAAATTTGTGCAAAGTGTACATATAAATTATGCTCCGTGGAATGTTGAATGCAAAAAGTAATTCCTAGCATGGTATTCTCTTTTCAAAATGCCTATCCGTTTTTTAGTCTTTTCCCATAATGCTCCAGATGCCTGCACATTATAACTTCTGAAAATGAGTTACTTGTATTAAAAGATTTTGAAACCCTGTCTTTATTCTACTAATTCCAGACCCTAACGTGACAAATAACCACACTTTGGCCCAAATGCTCAATCCTTGATAATTTATCTTTGTGCCTCCTTTCCACAGAAGTTAGTTTAGGATTCCCAAGTGCTGGGCAATGGGCAGCTGACTTTCTTTTCCTCTGCCTCCAGTGCCAGTGGGACTGGGGTACAGCTGGAAGCCAAGGTTAGAAGAAGCTAGTAGCTTTAACTTGTTCCTGGAGCGAGTCTGGCCTTGTGCCGTCCCAGGAGGGGTGAAGACCATGCACAGATATTCAGTTTCTCCTGGGAGAGTCACTGCTCTCCCAGGAGAAGCCATGACCGTACAGATGTTCAGGATTTTTCTCACAGAGTACAAATGGCTGCTCCAGGATGTGGCAGGACCAGCCCTGCTATGCACTAGTAAGTAACACCCTATGGCTGGCTAGCTTGCCTCCACTCTAGCTCTTCCAAACTGCTGCCCAATCTCTCTCATGCCATGCCTTGGTGGGACAAACAGTTATGTAGGATGTGTCCTGAGCCTTGGAGTGGTGTTCTCCTGTAGGACACTTCGCTCCACTCTTTTATACTTGTTCAGACCCAAACTCTCTTGGTCTCGGTCTACTTCAGCTGCTACCTTCAGCCCTTGATGCACTTATTCTAGCTTCAGGTCCTTGGAAGCAGCAGCATGGCTGGGGATTAAGCCCCACAGTTGGGCTCTGGGCCCCTTCCTGTTCCTCCAGCCTTGAAGGGGTTAAATTCCCCCCCCCCCGATGTGCATGGCCCTCTTGCCCTGTAGGTGCTAAACTTGTAGGGCACTTTAAGGTACCTGCAATGCAGCTTCCACTTCCCCTCATAGCTGCTCCTCATCCTCTGGGTAAACTGAAACAGAAATGCCAACAGTTGCTTCAAACTAAAATACCACCCCTCCAGACACTTGCAAATAAAGCAAACATAACCTTAAATCCTTATCCCCTCTTGGGCCTGTGGTAGGGAAAAATGAGAAAAAAAGACTGTCTCAGTCCTTACCCACCAGGTTTCCCCTAATTGCTTTTGGACACTACTGTGGTCCACCTGGGAGTCCTGCCTCATCTCCAGCCAGGGTTAGCATGTGCTGCCCTAACCTGTGGGCCAGCCTGTTTACTCCCTTAAGCCCTTCCCCTTCCAGTCAGCCCAGCCTATTGTCTAGCTGGAGCACAGGGGTTGCTCATTAGTCTCATTCCTGCCAGCTGCCTGCCCTTTAACTACAATCCCTTCAGCTTTTAGCCACTACCCAGGGCATAGCTACTGGTTGTTGCAGGGACCTTATCCCTTCCTTTTTTGCTGTTTGGTTCTAGTCTTGTAGAAATCTTGGTGAAATCCTGGCCCAGTGAAGTCAGTGGCAAAATTACCATTAACTTCAGTGAGGTCAGGCTTTCACTTATTCTGCTTACCAGCAAAGACTCTAACTTTGCTGGTCCCCTACATAGAAGTTACAGGGGGTTGAAGAAAGCTGTTTATTTTATACTCCATCCTTCTGTGCAAAGTCAGGGCAGGACACAGGCAACTTCCTGGATCATAGTTTGGCTTGTGAAAATTTAAATGGCATAAAATCCTATGCTAAAAGAGACTTTACCCACATACTATGTTTATAGTATCAAACATCATATGATATTTTTGAGGTTGCCACGCTTGATAGATCCAAAACAGAATCTTCTTTCAACAAACATATGTCTCTCAGAGTAACAAGGACAACTGAGATCTTAATCATGCCATACTGAATACAGTATATTTTAAAACGTACATTTGATTTCTTTTATGAGTGGATAATGTTGAGGTGAGGTTACTCAGGACTTATTTCAGTTTTTTTATCTTCTCTTTTTCTTTACTGTGAACTACAAGTAGTCTTTTGTATTGGTAAAATTCTGTTATTGTATACTTTTCCCCATTATATTACTGCTGTTAGTCTTAAAACACAGATTAAAATTATTCTTACCATGCTTAATTTTATTTATTACAGTTTTTACTCAGGTATGTCAACTTGCTCCTGATTATATATTTTATTTGTATTTATCAAATCAAGCTTTTTTTGTGGATCAAATATTTTGCTTATTGATTAATCTGTTCCTAAGTTTGGAAAAAAGAAAAGCACTCTGTTTTAGACCCTGTATTGGCAAATTATACAAGTATGTAAAAAATTCAGTGGTCATGTATTAAAAGAAGCAGATTCTTACATGCTTCCCTCAATTAGGGCTTTAGTTCCACATCACATGACATGTATCTAAGTAGTACTGTAGCAAAGGCAGTGCCAGCATTGCATCAGAACAGAGTGCCAAGAACAGAATCCCCTTGCACCACCATGGGTGCCGAATTTGGGGGGGGGCAATAAAAAGCAGCTGCTGCTTTGAACCAGAAGTCACTGCTGCCCCTGGGCACCTGGTCACGTCCCTATGCTGCTGCATGGAATTCTATTTTCCATTATGAGCCTAAGTGAAAGTTTTCTAGTAATCTACCTGGTCTTTTTTGGCTCTTGTTTCACATGGTAGATATATAAGTATGCATGCACTGACTGAGCATGCACAGTTGGGTTAGGCGCTGGCCAGGTGCATCCCTGGCTATGTGTGCACATATCTGTGTGTAAATCCCAGAAAAATAACAGGGTGAGAGAAGAAAACAGGGAAGCTCCCATATTTGAGCCCCTGTAGCTGAGAGCCTAGGACATTCTCTTAGGAAGCCAGAGAACCAGGTTCTAGGCTCCTCTCACTAGAAGAGGGTATGAACCTATATATTTCCAACTTCCCTACTCTCTAGTCTAAACACTATACCACAGATCTATCACCTCTCTCAAGTCCTCTTGTCCTCTCATGGCTTCTGTTATCCCATCACTGGGATTCTTATCTCTAACTGATCCTTCAGCATGTATTTTGTAACATCTCTTCTGCTCCCCCCTGCAGCTTTCTTGGTATACTTCCCTTCTCCATTTATGCCTTTACTGTGGGTAATCTCTTCTGCCAACAGAAGTTCATTTACCATTCTGATGCTGATTAATATATTTAATCACTCTAGATGTGTTTCCTTCTATCCAAACTAAAATGTCAGCATGTCATTGTGCTACCTTCTCATGGATGTTTAATTATCACCTCATGTTCCTTCTCTATGGCCTTGAAAAACCCAATCTTGCCTCACTAATATCCCTCCAGGATACTGCTTCAAAAAACATTTTCCATGGTGGTTTTGATTATGTGATTCCTCTCTATAACTCCACTTCACTATACAATCACTATACAGCTCCCAATCACCCACTCATTATATTTTTTAATATGCACATTCATGCTTTCTTCTATACTTGGAAAAAGGTCCCTGTAAGTATCTGAAAAGCACCTTCATTATCATTCATCAAATTCTTCCTTAAAAATTTCCTTTCCTGTTAGGTGACTGTGGTTAGTCCAGTATGTGCTGCCTATACCATTGCTTAGCCTGCTGACCAGTACTGTGCTACCTGGCTTGTCTGCATCCCTTAGTTTGGAATCATTCTTGAGCAGGGACTGGCTTTTCATTCTCTTTGTATGGGGTCTAGTCCAGAAAAACCTGGTCCCTGACTGGGGATTGTAGGCACTACAGTAATTCAAGTAAACAACAAAATAAACAACAAGCCCTGAGGAAAGACATTTTGTGCCTGTAAGCTTGTCTAATGATTTATCTAACACTGCCATTAAATTAATGAGCAACCCTGGACAAACCTCATCACCTCTCTGTACTTCAGTTTCTCCACCTGTGTGTATATGTAAGCACACACACACCTACACAGATGTATAATTATTCCTCCGTTGAAATTTCTTGAAATTGAGACATATTATTAGCATTTTATTAGAGTGCACATTCAGTCTAATTTGTAGCACATTTTTCTTTCACAAGTTGTAGCTGCTGTACCTACTAACTGATAGTTGTTGACAGGTGTTGCAAAAGGTAGCAATGCTCTTTCTATCCCTGTCCTCCCCTTTCCCAATACTTTCTCTTCAAAGGTCTGTTTCCAGCAGCATGGAGGGCAGAACAGCAGCAGCAACACAGGAGCAGTTGTCAGAGGTTTGCTGCTTGTGGGAGAGATGGCACCTCCTTTTGCCACTGAAATCTGGTGGGTTTTTGGTGACTTAGTGCAACCCCCCCCCCTCCAATGAGGTGACATTTCCCTCCCAGGGGGCTGGGCCAGGCTACGCTCAGCAGTGGCACTTGGAGGGGGCTGCAGCCACCCCAAAATTGTGCTGATCTGATATGGGACTGATGTATCAGTGTACCTCTAATACATGTATATCTTTTCATTAAAAGAAATTTCTTTTTGATAACTGGACAATGAATAATCAAGCACAAAGTCTTAAAGGCAGGCAGATTTTGTTCTATGTAGGTCTTCCTGTATCCCCCAAATTATACAAATAAAAAGGGCAAGATATGTTTGAGCAATAATGTAAATTCCAGGATAACTGCGTATTTATTTATCTATCTAAATAAGAACAGGCAATATCTAGGGGTTCAATATAATGAGAATTTGAAAATGTGGGCGGAGACTGAGATTGCCATGTGTATTATGTAGTCTGTGGATGCACTGTCTTAAAGGTAAAGAGTGAGTTGATTGATTTGCATGAATTCATAAACCCTGTCCAGCATCCCTGACCCCTGGCTAAAACGGTTATAGTTAATTACAGTTTTGGTTAGCTCTCATTTTGCCACTCAGCTGATCCCATCTTATTGTTGTTTATTTCTGCCTCTTGTACTCCAACTACATTCTCTCAGGTCTGTCCTTTTTTGCTGGCAGCCCTCATTTACTATTTTCTTATAAGTACAAAATGTCTCTACCTTTGCCTCCAAATCATTTATGAATACCTGGAAATAAAAGATGCAGCAACGGGGCCCCTGGGACTTAACCTTGATCACATAAATTGCCATATATTTATATAATTTTTATGAGCATGTTAACCTATTATGTGATACACAATAATAATAAACACAAATAACAGGGAAATTAAACATATAGACTTGGACTAAAGTAAATGTGTCTTACAGTCACAAGACAAGTACCTACCACATGTAAATATAGTAGTTTAAGTCTAAGAAAAATTACACCTATACATTCTCTATCATGTGAAGTAAATCATCAGAAAAACAAGTAAAGAGTGCCACTAACTTGAGCCTCAACTGAGGAAAAACAACCCTTTGTCCTCTTCTTTGGGTCTCTGCGTGGGAGGAAGGTAAGACAGCACATCAGTTCATTTATAACCATTTCTTAGTTATAATCCACCAGCCACTCCTTGATCTACTTTATAGGATTTGTGTCCAAATCAATTCAATCTAATTTTTCTAAAAACATCCTGTTGGCATTGCATCAAGTGATTTATTAGTGTAGTAGCTCTCTGATACAGATTTTAATTGCATCAAATAATTGCATAAAGCAACTATGGTAGCAACTATTACAAGTTGATATTTCTTGCATTAGTAGCTGCAATATAAAAATATGAATATTATATCACATCACATTGTGGTACTTGTTAACTTTTTGTGACAACTGTATTTGCATATTTATCTAATGACACTTGTTAGTTTGTATCTTTTATTTATTTCTCTTTCCTAATGAATGCTTAGATTTCACAACTGTTGAGGATCTATGTTAGATAAAGTTTGACTGCTTAATGTTACGCATACTGAAGTATAGTAAAAGTTGATTCACAGTTACATACAACTGTACATTAAATGATGGCCCCTGGAAAAGGAAAGCTGGAATTGAAAAATAGAAAGGAAGGGGTTTTCCATCATCCCTGTTAAGGGACTGAAAACATCTGACTCATTTTAGTTGTGATTAAGGTTCTGCAGGTTGTAACATAGAGGAACTGAATAGTACTTTCTTGGAAAAATGAAACAGAAGCCCAATGCAACCACTTTTTGTGCCATGCTGGCAAAGTTCCTTATGTTATGGTCCAGCTATTCTATGTTGGATTCCATCATCTAATTTTATTGTAACTGCACTGAAGAAATTAGGTTTGAATGTATGATTTATTTTTCATAAACTTACGTTGCTTATTGATTGTGGTGTTATTGTCCCCTTTGTGCTTGCAGATTGCTTTACTTAAATATTTGTTTCATTATTTTAGCAGGCAAGACATCAAATTAACAGGATAATTTTACAAGCATTCATTTTCTTCTTTCTAAAAGCTGTTATATTAATTCATCAGTGCTTCTATAGTCCTTTAGTATTTCTTCTGTTCTTTTATCTTTACATTAAACAAGAACAAAATCTAG